CAGGCTCTACTGCTGAACAAATTCATTTCAAATTTTAGACTATCACCATACACTATTAATTCAAGGAAAAAAATAAAAATAAATAGAAAAGCTAAATACCATTATTTACAAATCCAAAACATAATAAAAAGACAAGTTCAAATGAAAAAAAATTACTCATAATCCAACCAAACCAACTGATCTACACTTTCAGAGGAATGATTTTATATTTAACTTACTTGTATATGCATTACTTTTTCCCTAATGTACAAGTTTTACTAGAGGTAAAGAATTGGACACTTTAATTTTATTTTGAATTATTTCTTTTTTTTTCCTCAACAGGACAATAAAAGCTTGAGACCTGAGTTTCAGTTCTAGCTCTCACTTAGTACTATGTGATATTTGTAGGAAAAAAAATTGTTGGGCATGGTGACGCTTGGAAGGCTGAGGCAGGAGGGTCACAAGTTCAAGACCTGCCTGGACTACATAATGAGTTTGGCCAGCCTAGATACACAATGAGACCTGTTTAAAAACAAAAACAAAAAAACAAAAATATTGGCCTGAAATGAATTCCTTATCTATAAAATATTTATTTTATTCAATAGGAAACAAAAACAAGGAAAATATTTCCATTAAGGTGGCAAATGTTCATGCTTTGCATTGTGGCTACACAGACTGCTGCTCCATGAGGTACCCTCCACCCCCCACTACTGGAGATTAAACCCAGACTTTCACATTGAGCTACATACCTAGCTCTTTTTATTTTATTTTGAAACAGGACCTTATTAAGTTGCCCAGATGGGAGAATTTTTTAGCAAACTAAGAACTTATTACTTTTACATCTTTCTCACTTCAATAAGCAGAGCAGAAAGACATTTCTGTATGGCACATTATAGTAACAAGCTTAAAATACATTAAACATATGGAAATGTTCATTCTAGTTGAAACTTTCTTAAAACTACTGTCATACACTGCCAAACCTTTCACTAAAATTATTAAAAATACTTAGGGAGCTTAAATTCCATATTTGCAAATTTTTAAAAAATTTACTGAACTGTTTTGCTAGCAAAATAATTTGACTGGCAAATCACACAAGAAACCAGAAGGGAAGTAGTTATTTGCTATAGAAATTTATCCACAAAGTTTTAAACCACTTACTAAATGTGATTAGCACAGTTTGCCTTCCCTGTCTAGAGGCTTGTTATTCTCATTGGAAATATTTGGGGATAAAAAATATCTGTATTGAACATGTGAACATTTTTTCTTGTCACTATTCCTTAAATAATACAGAATAACTTTTACATAGCATTTCTGTTGAATTAGGTATTACAGTATAAGTAATTTAGAGAAGGCTTCAAGCTACAGGATGATGTGCATAGATTACCAGGCAAATACTACTACATCATTACATATAAGAGACTTGGACACACGCAGACTTTGGTGTATCTGCAGGGGTCCTGGAACCAATCCTCTTGGATACCAAGGACAACTGTTAACTGCCTGTTCAGTCCTCAAATTCAGAAACTGAGATCCTATTTCCTTATGATTCTATACTTTTGCTATCCAAAATGATACTGTAACTGCCTAAGAATGTCTACACATTTTTATTTTATCTAGCAAAATGCCTATAAATTCATAAAAAACTGTCCCTTTCTGAAATCACCCAAGAAAAGCACAATGCATACTGGAAAGAGAACTCAGCTGCTTTAGTTTGAACTTCACCCCACTACCAACTAGCTGTGTGATCTTGGGGCAAGTTAATCATACAAAATTAATTTCTGTGTCTTGGTCCCCTCCTCTGTGAAATAAGAATATTGGAATACCAACAATCTCATGGGGCTGCTGTAAGAATTAAATGGACATATGTAAAGCACTTACCTGACATACAATAAGTGTTATGTTTCAATTATTAAGAAATAAACAGGAGGATCAAGACTTCAAGGCCAGCCTGGGCTACGTAGCAAGACTTCGTTACAAAACAAAATAGAAAGATCTGCTGAATTTGATGATGCACATCTGTAATCCCTACTATCTGAGAGGCTGAGGAAGGAGGATCTCAAGTTGGAAGCCAGCCTAAGCAACTGAGCAAGACCTTATCTCAAAATAAAATTTTAAAATAGGCCTGGGGATGTAGCTTAGTAGCAAAGCACTTGCCTAGCATGTCTGAGGTCATATGTTCAGTTCCTAATACCACACGAGAGAAAAAGAGAAAGAAGAAAAAGGAAAATTACATTAAATATAGCTATTATAGCTGGGCCTGAAAGCACAGGCCTGAAATCCCAGCACTCTGGAGGCTGATGCAAGAGGATCTCAAGTTCACCCTGAGCAACCTGAAGACTGAGCAAGGCTCTTCTTCAAAGTAAAAAGGACTGGAAATGTAGCTCAGTCAAAAGACATGGGGTTCAATCCCCTGTCAACCACCAAAAAAAAAAAAAAAGTGTTATAAATACGTTGTGCTCGGGCTCAAAAGGTCAATTTTTTTTTCTGAGACAGGGTCTTGGTATCGCTAGCTTTGAATTCACTATATAGTCCAAACTAGCCTCAAACTTAATGTGACCCTCCTGCCTCCCGAGTGCTGGGATTACAGGCTTGAGCCACCACATCTGGCTTAAAAGGTCATTTTTTTTAAAAAGTTAAGTTGCTTAGGATGCTAAATCCATACCCCTGGAAATACAATAGTGGTTAGGTTTGTCATAATTTGACAGAAATTTACTGAAGAGTGTGCCTAAACTTCAGGTTCCCATCGTTTCTCTGCAGAAATGCATTAAAAAATTACAAGTTGGGGGTGGGGCTTATTTCTGACTACATTCTCAGGTTCTGAAAGAGACTAAAAATGAGTATCACTATTTGAAACAAAAATGATCCCTTTTTTCCCTAGACATGACCAGGGACTTTTAAAGGAGCTTCAAAGGCTTCACTTTAGTGCAATTAATTTTTAATGCAGAAAAATTTGCATTTTTCACTAAAAATGAGCACTTCGGTACTGTTTTACACATATTTCCAATTATAGTTTCAATGTAGGTTTCTACTTTCACATATTTTAGGTTTTTAGAATTCTCATCTCCCTAAATTTAAACTCACCATTATCCAAATCTCCCTGGATCAGTACTAGAATACCATACCAGTGACCACAACACTGGAAATTAAGCCTCTCAAAGAGTTTAAATGAACAAGGTTAAATCACATTTTGTATAACTTTGTACCTTAACACTTGTTACATTATCCTAAACCTATCAGGGGCTACAAATATTTACTGACTCAAAATAGTCCTTCACTACTCTGTAGTTCTGCACTGCATAGCTGTGCAAAATCCAAAGGACCCAAATGTTAAAGTCATAGAATGCAGTACGTTATTTTATTGTCTAGAGGTTTATACTCTGCCTCAACTGCCAGTTATAACGTTCTCTGAGGTCAAAAGTGGACACAGATCCTGTCAAAGGGGCTTTAAATTTAAATTTTACTAATTTATCCTTCGCTGCTATGTAACATTTACGTTTTAAAGTCGGTTGATTTTATTAGCAACTTGAGACCAAGTTTTACAGTCAACCAAATTCCTGGGAACATAAATGAAAAATTGGTGACAACAAAGAGCAAGCAATCAAGCAGAAAAGCTGCCTTAAATTCCGGAAACAATGTGAGGAGTTTGCATTAATGTAATAAAATATTTTTGTAGTCTGTAATTTTCTCTATTGTTATAAAAGTCTTTAAAAAGTTCAAAGCAAACTGGTAAGCCATTACCAAAATCACAAATAACCATAAAAAGACACAGAAATACTTGGCAAGAAATGTTTAAATTGGCTCCAGCGTCAAAGGTTTTCTGGTCGCTAATATATTTCATTATGCACCTGAAACACTGTCACATACGTGTGACATTCCTAAAACTGCAAGAAAGGCCCACAAGGTCCAGTGCAGAAATAAACTATGAAAAAAATAAATACCCTCTGCCTTAGACGTAACTACCAACTTTCTGCCCTGAGATGAGCTTGCTTCAACTAAGTCTAAATGGCGACTAAACAGAAAAAAAAAGCCTGAAGCATGGATGGAAAGAAAAAAATCTAATGAAAAAAAAATATTTTAAACGGTAAGTTTCTATTTACCTTCCACACTTAGCTAAAGACACGAGGGAACCAAGATCGCGCACATGTAAGCATGCGCGCCGCGCGGAAAGAATGAATGAATGGAGCCCAGCGCAGGCGAAGCGCAGCAGGTCCGGCCGGCAGACAGACCCGCAGCCGCCAGAGCAGGCCTCGCTCCTCCCCTTATCCTTCTCCATGACAGCCCAGTCCCCAGAAAGGAGGAACGAAGACAATGTGGTCCCCCTTCTCCTGACTGCCACCACCACCCTCCGTGGACTCCGCGCTTCTCTGCGGGTCCCGGGGTTCCCTCCCCACCCATCCTTCCCCGCGCCCCCCACCCCGGCCGCCACTCTCCTGGAGCAACCCGCGCTGCCCATCGCCTCCCCGGCGAGGTCGCGGCTCCATGCACGCCGCGGCCCCGCGCCCACCTCACCCACCTTCCGGCCCGTGCGCCCACGGCTCCCAGCCCACGGGTCCAGAAAGACTGCGCGCCGGCACCTGGGCGGGCTAGAGCGCGGGAGGAGGGAGGAGAGGCTGCCCAAGCTCCCTCCTCCACCTCCTTCCTGACCGGCTCGCACCCACGCTCACGCCGGCTCACGGCGGCTCTCGGTCCGCTTGGAACGGCCCGCGCCCTCCAGGCACTAACAGCCCACACCCCCACCCCGAGCCCGGCAGCCACCCCGCCACCCCGCACACCTTCGGGGACCGTAGGCGGCGCCGTGCCCCTCCCCCAGCTCCCAGGTCTCCAGCCCCCACCGGAACGTGTGCGCTCCAAGCCGCCTCGACCAGCCTTCGGGTCGCCCCCGACAGCCCGCAGGTCAGGCCGGAGGAGGGCGGGCAGGGGGTAGCGTGCGCGCAGAGAACGCAGTCCAGCGGGGCGCCCAGGTCCAAAGGGAGACGGAGCGCGGGGACCAGCGGGGGTGGGGAGCCAAAGGCAATGCTCACCGGTTCCACAGTCGCCATCTTAGATCGATCTGATCGCACAACCACTCCTGAAGGGGGGGGGGTTGAGAGGAAAAAATGAGATTCAAACCGGATTGGTCGGCTACCGTCCACGTGACGGACGTATCCGTTTGGTCCTGGCGGCGCCTACGCAAGACTGAGGCTGCGTGGGTAATGAGAGGCTTCTGGGAAGTGGAGTCTCCCTTTTTTTAATTTTTTTTCTTTTTTTTTTTAAAGCAAAGACGCTTTAAGGAGGGGCAGGTCACGTGGTCGGTAGCCGGGCGCGCCATTCTCGGAGCAGAGACTCGCGTGAGGCTGCGTGATCTCCAGTCCTCCGTGCTCCCTCACCGCCCGGAATGCCGCCTTGTCCTCTCATCTTCCCCAGAAGGTTGGAAGCTGCAGGCTCAGCACACACAATAAGTCTTCATTTGCTTAATGTCCTAAGACAGATTGCTTGTGTGTTTAGTTTTCTTTTGACCGCCCACCGTTTTCTTCTACTGTAATTTGAAAAAGAGGCGGAGTCCAGGAGCCCTTAAGAAATCAGACCTGCAGGTTCAGGCCGCGCTGGCGCGGGGGGGCCGCTTGTTGCCATCACGGCGGCGGCGGCGGCGGCGGCGGCGGCGGCGGGGTGGGGTGGGGGAACGGCTGGACGGCCTGGTCCCCGTCACGCCCGGGTGGGACTGAGTCCGGCCGCTGTTGGGCCCCGTCCTGAGAGTGAGACCTCAGAGGTAAATCTTGCTGGAAGTAAAACTTTTTTGGACCTTCTGTTCACGCGGTTGCAGCCGTCTGCTTTAACGAGAACAGAAGTAGCTCAAGGCCAAGTGCCGGTCCTGGCAGCCACTCTGGCCCCTGACAAGGCCCGGGCAGGCAGTCAGGAGGCGCGCGTCCCGGTCAACCCTGACTCTGGCATTGACTCATTCTCCTTGGGCGAGTGACTTAATCATTCAGTGCCTTGGTTTTTTAATTTATGAACCTAAGATGATAATACTCTTACGTCACAAGGGCGTGCTGTGGTAATAACTATAACCAGCTTTGACAACGCATCAGTCTCAAGATGCATAACAAGCAACTGCACGTGTCTTCCTATGGATCACTCGCTTCCTTGTTTTTTTAAAACATTTTTAGTTTTCTTTTGTTTACTTTATTACATGATGACACCAATGCAAATCAAGACCACTTCCCCCCCTTTACAAAGGTAGCTGCCCTCAATAGAGGCTTCAATGCTCAGGAAACTATTACTGTATATTTACATCCATCACTAGAGATTAGAAATCTGTCCTTACTCCGGCATGCCACAGTTTCTTTCTACAGTAGCTTGCAATTTTTTTCAAGATAGTGTTATTCTGCACAGTCTGGTTATTAATACTGGAAATAGAGGATAAGAGATCTAGAACAGTGCCCTAAGAGTAAGGATGAAGTCGGTCTCATTGGTACTTCTCTCACTTCTTAACAATTATTAACACCAGGAAAAGCAGTGTAACTAGGTTGCCTGTACCTGCCTCTTTATGGTGTTGCTAATGTTTAGAGATATGTCATACCTATTGTTGAGTGCATAATGGATGCTTGGGTTGGCTAACACATAATTGAGTTTGTGTAAGAATTCAAAGCTATTGCTTGTGCACATGTTTTGGTTTACTTGGATGGTGGAGGTGACTAATGAAACATTTATGTCTAGTCATCTTAACTCCAGTAGGTTCTAAAGTAGAATTATAAAAAATAAACAGATAAATGGATCTGTTCTTACAGAAACTGTTACACTATCGAAAGTAGTTACAGTTGGGCGGGGGATTTAACTCAGTGGCTCCAGCACCTGCCTCACAAGTGTAAGGTCCCAAGTTTGATCCCGGTACTAAATACAAAGAAAGTAGTTACAGTTGATTTTGTTGATGTTTTCTGCTGATTAGAAGTGATACCTGGTTAACTTCTTCGAAGAGACAGCATAAATGTCCTATTTTCATGAAGTTGCTAGATAATAGAGCAAAGAACCAGGTTGGCAAGAAAATACATGCATATGAAATTTAATTTTTCTCCATTTTGTTCCCTGTGCTTTGTTGCATATGTTTTGTGACCCGGTCACGTGTCTTTGCCTAATAATGACATCACAATTCTACCATATCAAAGATTTGGTGATTACATTTTGTTAATTTTTATCTGGATATAATGATTCATTTCATTTTTGGTCTTTTTTATATTGTTTTTGGACAAGTTTTCACTGTTATTCAGGCTGGTCTTGAACTTGTAGGCTCAAACAGTCCACCTGCTTCAGCATCTCAAATAACTAGGATTACAAACGTGCATTACCATGTCCAGCTTTATACTAATTTTTTTTTTTTTTTTTGAGACAAGATCTTACTATATAGCTTGACCTCAGTATGAAGTCCAGGCTGGCCTTGAACTCCAGGTGATCCTCCTACCTCAGCCTCCAGAGTGCTGGAACCTCAGGACTGGGCCACTGTGCCTGGCCTCTTAAATGCACACAGGAAAAATTTTATATTTTATTTCTCTATTATTTCACAAAATACATTTACTACCTTGATGCCATATTTGTGTTTATAGTTAAGAAAAAAAGTTTAAAAGATTAGATTTATGAAATTAAACATGGTACTGAAACACTATTCGATATGATTGAGTTATGTAGTTTATGCATAACAACTATGGCCCAGCAAAACATCATTGTAACTATTATGTATAAACCTGGAATGATTAAATATTATTTAGCATCTGTAGATAACCATGCTCTTTTCTCTACATAACATTCTTCAAGCTGGCATGTTACTAGTCTATAGTTGTGATTCATACTGAAAGACTTTAATTTGATAGAACACACCAGCTGCTTTTATTATATGCTTTACTCTGTCATTGGAATTTTATCTTGTTTTTTTTAGATAACCAAAGTCATTGTTTTGCTGGGATTTTCAACTGTGATTTAAACTGATACCTGCTACAATCTATCCAAAATGATTACTACCCACTGTCTAGCTTTTTGTTGTTATTGTTAACAGGCTTCAAATTTTTAAACATTTTGCTTAAATTAGGTGTCTTTCTTAGTCTCTGATCAGTACTAAGCAACCATTTCTCCTTAAATTAAGTAAGCTTCGAGACAGAGGATATGAAATAAAATCAATGATCCTTAATGTTGTAATGTTGGGTGGTAGCTTTAGATGTAATCTAAACCAGCTCTGACACTAACATTTTTTAACTTCAGTCACTCCTTTTTTTGTTTTGTTTTATTTTCTGAGACAGGGTCTCACTATGTACTCCAGGCTAGCCTTGAACTCACCATGGACCCCAAACTGGCCTCAAACACCAGATGATCCTCCTGCCTCATCCTCCCAAGTACTGGGATTACAGGCAGGGACCACCATTCCCAGTTCTTTATTCACTTTTTTTTATTATTTGGTTAAATTTGTACTTTAACTTTTGCTCTTTTTTTATTTTCTTGGTATGAGGATCAAACTCAGGACCTTGCACTTGCCAGGCAGGCAAGGCGCCACTGAGCTCCATCCCCAGTCCTCGCTCTTTTTTAAAAAATTGTTATTGCCATGTTCTACAGTGATTTTCCTTTAAGAAAGATGTAAGGTAATGGCTTCTAACAGACTAGACTTTTAAATAACAATCACATGATTTATTATAGAACAATATGAGTAATATGAGTATGGATGTCACATTACCATAATGATAACTCTACTACTTAGTACCTGACTATAAGTAGCTTATTTAGCCTCTTTGTGCCTTTTTATCAGGAGTTAAATAGTAAAAATAATATATATTTTTAAAAGGATGAGTGATAAATGAGTTAATTCCTGTATTATGCTTCGAATAGTTCTTAGAACACAGCACTCATTGTTACCTATTATTAATATGATGAAAATATTCTAGTGACATAAATTTTTTATTTGCTTCTTAGTATAATGTAATATGTCTGAGAATTCTTTTGTTTAGAGAATCGATGCCTGACTATTATTTTTGAGGAAATTCCAAGCTGCTACATACTTGAATAAACATTCTTAATGAACAATAATTTCCTGTAATATACCAATCATCTTTCATATTGACTACTTCCTTTGACTTTTACAAAAATTATGTGAAACATTATTGTCTCATTTTATAGATAAGTAAACAGACTCAGTAATACTAAGAGACACATTCATTCAGATCCATACAGACAATAGTTGAATTGGGTTTCAAAGCCAATTTTTGTGATTCCAAGACCCTGTGTACCATAGCTTCTTTCTTATGAAAGGGTCTTCCGAAATACCTATTTCTCTTCAAAGTGCTTATAATTCCAATTCCACTTACCTATCTGACAAGAAACCACCCAAGAAATACTGAATTGTTAATGGGAACTCTATAATCAGTGAATATTTAAAGGATGCAGGAAGCATAGGCACGTCCTTCCTGAACTGTAAAATCTGATTGATATTCTAAGTCA